GTAACTTTGTTCCGTAATGAGTCATCATCGAGCTATGAATAACAAAAAAAAAATAGATTAATCATTTTAATATGATCATTTTGAAATATAAAACCTTATTAATGTTTGCTTATACATTATGTTATTATAACATGACGTAGATGAGGTTAAGATGAAAATACACGGAGTGAAAAATGAAAAAACAAATAATTTATAATTTTTTTACCCCAGAGTGTGCCAAATTTCAAAACTTAGTAGATTCATCCATGCGAATGCAGCCAATAAAAAGAACATTATTAAAAGTCCTAAAAAATATTCTTTTAAACAATATTTTTATGCACAATGTAACTTACCTAAGGGTATACAAGCTTTTTGATGATTAAGGTTAAATTGAATATAAGTTGCTAACATCGATTCAATTAATAAACAAGAGCAATAACAAATAATAATATTTCCAACAAAATTTTTCAACTCTTTTAAAAATATAAAACCGAATATCGTTAAGATTAGAGATATACATGAAATTAAATTCAACGGTTTTAATAAGGCAATTTTAAAAGGAGGTACGTCAACACTTCCGAAGGAACAAATAAAAATTGCGTATCGATTCTCTTGCGTCAGATAATCCAAGCAATACATTTTCTCTTCAAATTCGTATTCAAACCATTTATTAACTTGTTTTATAAGTAAGTTTCCATTTGATTTAATTGTGAAGTTATATTTGGGAGAATCTTTAAATTTTTTACATACTTTTTTTTGTACCACACCAGAGAATGAATCTGAAAACAAAAAAAATAATTAAGTTATTTTTATTAATAATTAAAGAAAACAATTGCGAAATAACTTTTAGTTGTGAAGAAATAAATTTTTGAATATTTATAAAAATTACAAGTTTAAAAACCTTTAACGATTAACTTCAAATATTCATATTAAATTAAATTTTCCGAATATCCAAATGAAAATATCACAAACTGACAATTAAAGTATCTACTTTTCAATAAATAAAGTCTTTTTGCAAAATAACTCTTAGTTGTGGAGAAATAAATGTTTGAATATTTATAAAAACTACAAATTCAACAATCTTTAACGATTAACTTCAAATATTTATATTAAATCAAATTTTTCGAATATACAAATGAAAATATCACAAACTGTCAATTAAAGTATCTACTTTTCATTAAATAAAGTCATTTTGCAAAGTAACTTTTAGTTGTGGAGAAATAAATTTTTGAATATTTATAAAAATTGCAAATTCAACAATCTTTAACGATTAATTTCAAATATTCATATTAAATCAAATTTTCCAAGTATCCAAATGAAAATATCGCGAACTGTCAATTAAAGTATCTACTTTTCAATAAATAAACTCATTTTGCAAAATAACTTTTAGTTGTGGAGAAATAATTGTTTGAATATTTATAAAAATTACAAGTTCAACAAACTTTAACGATTAACTTCAAATATTTAGATTAAATCAAATTTATCGAATATCCAAATGAAAATATCACAAACTGTCAATTAAAGTATCTACTTTTCAATAAATAAAGTCTTTTTGCCAAATAACTCTTGGTTGCGGAGAAATAAATGTTTGAATATTTATAAAAATTACAAATTCAACAATCTTCAACGATTAACTTCAAATATTCATATTAAATCAAATTTATGCGAATATCCAAATGAAAGTATTACAAACTGTCAATTAAAGTATCTACTTTTCAATAAATAAAGTCATTTTGCAAAACAACTTTTAGTTGTGGAGAAATAAATTTTTGAATATTTATAAAAATTACAAGTTCAAGAATCTTTAACGATTAACTTCAAATATTCATATTAAATCAAATTTTCCGAATATCCAAATGAAAATATCACAAATTGTCATTTAAAGTATCTACTTTTCAATAAATAAATCATTTTGCAAAATAACTCTTAGTTGTGGAGAAATAAATGTTTGAATATTTATAAAAACTACAAATTCAACAATCTTTAACGATTAACTTCAAATATTTATATTAAATCAAATTTTCCGAATATCCAAATGAAAGTATCACAAACTGTCAATTAAAGTATCTACTTTTCAATAAATAAAATCATTTTGCAAAATAACTTTTAGTTGTGGAGAAATAAATTTTTGAATATTTATAAAAATTACAAATTCAACAATCTTTAACGATTAACTTCAAATATTCAGATTAAATCAAATTTATCGAATATCCAAATGAAAGTATCGCAAACTGTCAATTAAAGTATCTACTTTTCAATAAATAAAGTCTTTTTGCAAAATAACCCTTAGTTGTGGAGAAATAAATGTTTGAGTATTTATAAAAATTACAAATTCAACAATCGTCAACGACTAACTTCAAATATTCGTATTAAATCAAATTTTTGCGAATATCCAAATGAAAATATCACAAACTGTTAATTAAAGTATCTACTTTTCAATAAATAAAGTCTTTTTGCAAAATAACTCTTAGTTGTGGACAAATAAATGTTTGAATATTTATAAAAATTACAAATTCAACAATCTTCAACGATTAACTTCAAATATTCATATTAAATGAAATTTTCCAAATATCTAAATGAAAATATCACAAATTGTCAATTAAAGTATTTACCTTTCAATAAATAAAGTCATCTTGCAAAACAACTTTTAGTTGTGGAGAAATAAATGTTTGAATATTTATAGAAATTACAAATTCAACAATCTTCAGCAATTAACTTCAAATATTCATATTAAATCAAATTTTACGAATATTCAAATGAAAATATCACAAACTGTCAATTAAAGTATCTACTTTTCATTAAATGAAGTCACTTTGCAAAATAACTTTTAGTTGTGGAGAAATAAATGTTTGAATATTTATAAAAATTACAAATTCAACAATCTTCAACGATTAACTTCAAATATTCAGATTAAATAAAATTTTCCAAATATCTAAATGAAAATATCGCGAACTGTCAATTAAGGTATCTACTTTTCAATAAATAAAGTCATTTTGCAAAATAACTTTTAGTTGTGGAGAAATAAATTTTTGAATATTTATAAAAATTACAAGTTCAACAATCATTAATGGTTTACTTCAAATATTGATATTAAATCAAATTTATGCGAATATCCAAATGAAAGTATCGCAAATTGTCAATTAAAGTATTTACCTTTCAATAAATAAAGTCATCTTGCAAAACAACTTTTAGTTGTGGAGAAATAAATGTTTGAATATTTATAGAATTACAAATTCCACAATCTTTAACGATTAACTTCAAATATTCATATTAAATCAAATTTTTCGAATATTCAAATGAAAATATCACAAACTGTCAATTAAAGTATCTATTCAATAAATAAACTCATTTTGCAAAATAACTTTTAGTTGTGGTGAAATAAATGTTTGAATATTTATAAGAATTACAAATTCCACAATCTTTAACGATTAACTTCAAATATTCATATTAAATCAAATTTTCCGAATATCCAAATGAAAATACCATAAACTGTCAATTAAAGTATCTACTTTTCAACAAATATAGTCATTTTGCAAAATAACATTTGGTTGTGGTGAAATAAATTTTTGAATATTTATAAGAACTACAAATTCCACACTCTTTAACGATTAACTTCAAATATTCATATTAAATCAAATTTTTCGAATATCCAAATGAAAATATCACAAACTGTCAATTAAAGTATCTACTTTTCAATAAATAAAGTTATTTTGCAAAATAACTTGTAGTTGTGGAGAAATAATTGTTTGAATATTTATAAAAATTACAAGTTCAACAATCTTTAACGATTAACTTCAAATATTCATATTAAATCAAATTTTCCAAATATCCAAATGAAAATTTCACAAATTGTCAATTAAAGTATCTACTTTCCAATAAATAAAGTCGTCTTATAAAATATTCTTACAACTTTATTAATTAATTTAAAAAATTAGTACAAAAACAATTTCATGGAAATTTCATAAACTAGACACTTTTTCAATTTGTTATTTTATAGCACCATTTCGATCAATTGTTAATTACCTAGAGAATTACCCAGTTCGTAAAGTGAGAATAAAAATGATGAATTGGATGGAAAATAAGGCGAGGTCGAGTTAATTGATTAAAGGCAAAGAATATATCAATCTAATCATGTATCATCAGGAACAAAAATACTTTGACTTACCTGATTGATTTTGAAACCTTTTTATATCTTTAATTGATACCCCATATTCAGGATTAAATACACAGTTTTTATACAAATAAGAAAATCCATCTTTACAACATTTCGTTATACATCGCAGAGAACGACAACGTTCGATTTTTTCGCATGTTCTTAATACTGAAGATGATATTTCAAAATCCCAATCGAGGCAATAACTTCCAAAGTGATAACTTTTTGTGTTGTTTATAAAAATTGTTTTATTCTCAAAATGAATTACTTCTTTGTTGCTAATTATTTGATCGATTATAACAGGACAATCTAAAAAGCTTTTAACCAAAACATTCGATTCGATGTCATAACTACTATAAATTCCATCCTCATTTTTAACACAACTATGAAATTGAGATTTATAATTATAACCTAAAGGACAACATTTCGGGAAATAACTTAATTCGTTTAAATTTAATCCGTTACACACATCAGATAATTCGTAATTAACACCATCTTGTTTGAAGGAAAATTTATGAGAATCACTAATGGCAGGAATACAATTATTAAAATTCGAACCCAAATTATTTGAAGTTTTAAATTCATTAATTATTTCGTTGAGATATAAAGAAGTTGTTGATAAAATAAACGTAAATAACAAAGATATCACTAAAAATTCACTAAACATGTTGTTCTTTTGACACATTCCTGTGATGAACTGATGAGGGATGAAAACCTCTATCGAGTTTTTGTAGGGTATAGATTGACGCAATGGAAAACCGATACATAAAACGTACATAAAACCATAGTTTTCCTTTTCTATCGATTTGACGTGATGTCATAATCATCGTCAAAGTTAAAACGGCCAAAGCTGACGTAAATATGTCATCTTAAGAAAAATGAATTTTTTTTTAATTAAAATTGGATGTATTCTGTTTGGGTTTTAGATACATTTTTATGTTTTATTTCTACGTTTTAATATGGATGGAGTACATGAAAGTAACGATTTTGTTGAGATAAGTAATATTAGAATTTATCCGGCAAGATTAGAGTTTTCTGAAAATTTGGAAAAGAGAGCGTACAAGTCCAAGATTACTTTACAAAATATTGGAACATGTAGAACGTGTGTTAGGATTTTAGAACCATCGTCAAAGGTAATTTGTAATTTATTAAAAGATGTATAATAACAGTTTTAATTTTTAAGTATTATAAAATACAAAGTTTTCCAAGAGGACGATATTTATCGGCAGGATTAAAAATAATAGTTCCAGTAGAAATTCTATATGCTGCTGATGACAACCCAGATAGTGAATGCTTAGTTCCTGTTTATGTTAATGATAAAAGACACGATTACTTAATTTTACTGTAAGTAACATAATGCTTAATCAATACTTACACCCTAATTTAATGTTTGTGGTGCTCTAGCACTAATTTCAAATGTATACTCTATACAAAACAGGTAAATAAACACCGGTCTGACGCAGGGCTAGCCCAGAAACTTTCTAGTTATAGATCTGGTGTTAGTTCTAGTTTTAATTATTATTCGGCGCTATATTATTCTATATTTTTATTTAATTAAAAGTAGAAGTAACATTAGACCTGGAACTACAAACATTCGAGTTTAGCGTTCTTAAAAGACTTCTTCATCTTTATGTATATCCCAATTTCGCATTATATTCTGGAATATTTGAATACACTTGATGTTGAGCCCCATCTGATTGTAAATCAGTAGTTTGTTGGAAAATTTTAAGTTCCCACTAATAAGCCAATATATTTTCTGCCTATATTTTAGGGCTAGTCCCGCTTTTTTCTTCTTTCCATCTAAGTTTGGTGTTTATAGTCATACCTACTTGGCGTTGTTTTCATTGAAACAATGGTGCCATTTACATCTAGAGACGGTGGATCTTTTTGCTTGTTGGCTTCAACCTCTTCCAATATCTTTTTTAAATAATTATTACTAAAACACAAAGCAAAATTATCGGTGTCCCTATTGAGGTAAAGTTTGTAAAGGTGTTTATCGCTTGCATTTCTTTCTGTAATGATATCAGTTCCTCACGAGTTTTATTAAATCTAAAATTAAATGTAATTGCAATTCATTATCTTGTTCTTTCCAGTGGGGCACATCTTGGCTTATCTTCTTCAAATAAAAACCATGTAAAAACTTCTAACTTGCATTTATTTATATAAAGTCGTACTAATTTCGGGTTACCCCATCATCAGCGACAACTATAAAGATTACAAATCATAAGATAACAAATATGTAAGGTGGTAAATATAATAGAGTAAAGTTAACTTGAAAAATTTTTTTAAAAAAGAATTAATGATAGAATTATTATTTAAAGTATAAAAATTAGAAGTCGTGTTAAAGTGCAAAAATAGAAGTTCAAAAATATTGTTAACAATAAAAACAAAAAATCTTAACTTAGCCTTAAATTAAATTTATAATGAAAAAATTTTTTTAAACGAATTTTATTTTTATATTTTAAACGAAATCTAGATTTTAAGGCAAGAAACACTCGATAAGAACATCATATAAAAAGATCCAACCACGAGGAAAACGAGGAGAAGTGAAAAACTCATAAATCAAAAAAAATTTAAAAGAAATTTTTTAAGAAATACTTACAGTCAATGATGCTATAATAGGTGTAGACTGGAAATCGGATAAGAATAAAACATTTTGTTATCTGATGGATACACAAAATGAAGATAAAAGATGAAAAATGTCGACATTAAAAAGTGTGGAAACTAAAGAAAAATGAAAAAAAAATAAAAAATTTCAAAATAACCTGTCAAAAAAGTTAAAAGAGCAATAACATAAGATACTTAAAAAGTAATTAATGAAATAAACTTACGTTAAAAATTAGAAAACTTTAAGAGGATGCGTTGGTGGGATGAGATGAGGCAAGACTGAATAAATCAAGCCAGAGCAATTGTTAAACTGGATAAGAGAGATAAAAATACAAATAGAGAGAAAGGGAAAAATCGGTTCATGAAAGAAATTAAATTTGAAAAAGATAAAAGGAAAATATGAAGATAAATTTAATTTTTAAAAAAGGGGAAAAAATTACGTAAATTTAAGGTATTTGAAAATAGGTTTGTATAAATTTTGAATTTGATCATTAAGCAAAGTAAAGTTATTATTGTTATTATGTTTATGGATTTCCAACAATTCCAATAGATCAAGTCTATAACCTTTTTGGCATTTATGAATAAGTGAACAATTATCAAAATTAATGTTATGTCCCGTTCCAACTCTATGTTTGTAAATATTAGATTGAATTTTAGTTTTGTGTTCATTAATTCTGTTTTCCACTCTACGGCCTGTTTGACCAATATAAATACCGTTACAATTAGAGCATCCGATCGAATACACCCCATTTTCTTTAAGAATGTCACATTGTTTACAATGATAATTAGATAAAAGTTTAAGTAAAGAATTATTGTTGGAAAAAGCTAAGGTTATATTAAACTTTTTAAAAATATGTTTAGACTTCATAGTAATATGATTAAAAGAGATAGGTTTATAAATAGAAATGTTATGAGTTTTAGTGAATAAGGGATCTTTTTGTTGTTGTATTCTGTTATGAAGTTTATTTATGACATTAGGAGGAAAACCAAAATGAAAAGCTAAGTTGTGGATGTAGTTAAATTCTTTTATTCTGTTGCTCTCAGATAAAGGGTAATTAAGAGCTCTATTAATCAAAAATCTGAAATTAGCTAATTTATGTGACATAGGGTGGGAAGAATCGTAACGAATTGTGGTTGGAATAACTGTTGGTTTCCTAAAAATGTCATAAGTAACAGATTCGGAGTTATCTCTGGTAATTGTAAGATCAAGAAAGTTGAGAGTTTTATTCTTTTCAATTTCAAGTGTGAAGTTAAGTTTAGGAAATAAGTCATTTAAATAATTGTGAAAATCAGTTAACTTGGCAGTACTCCCCTCCCAAACACAAAAGATATCATCAACGTATCTTATCCATTTATGGATATGTTTTTTAAAGAAATTATTGTTATTAATTATATATTTATTTTCAATGTGATCAAGGAAGATGTCTGAAAGAAGACCGGATAAAGGCATGCCCATCGGAAGCCCTTCACTAATATGATAAAATTCGTTGTTAAAAGAACAATAGTTTTGAGAAACGACATGTTTAAGTAATTTATTTAACTGTTCTATAGTATTATTATTATTGAAAAATTCTTTAAAAATATCAGAAACGAGATTCAAAGTAAAATCTATTGGAATATTGGAATACAAATTTGTTACATCAAAAGATATTAAGGTTTTATTTTTGTAATTTAAATTATGAGTTTGTTCAATGAATTTAATGGAGTTATTAATCGAAAATTTAGGTTTGAAATCTATAGTTTTAAAAATCTTTAATAAAAAACTTGAAATTTTTTCTGTAGGCGAGTTATTAAATGAAGTAATGGGTAGCATGGGCATGTTTTCCTTATGAAGTTTGGGAAGCGAATACAACCTAGGTATAGTAGGGTTCATGTGAATAAAAAGTGAACTGTTGAAAAATTTTTGGTTCTGTAGAAAAGGTGTGTATTCGATCAGAGTCTCCTTACATTGGTTTATTATTTCTCTGCTCTTTCTTATAGTTCTTTCGAGTGGGTTAATGTTAAGTTTAACATAGCTGTTTGCTGACATAAAATCATGAGTTTTTTTAATGTATATATCCTTATTAATAATCACCACCACACCGGCTATTATCTATTCTTCAGTTCCACTGAATGGGTTTGAAAGAATCGATCTTCTATCGTACTTGTATGGGCTTCCATCTTTTTTTTCTTTTACGGTTACTATCCTTGTGATATTTGCACTAGGAACTTTCCTTTTATCATTCTATCTTATTTTTTATCTTCACAATTGATTATTATTCTTTCTTCCTTTGATACAGATAGTAACCATTCGTTATTTGTTAATTGTCGTATCATTTCGAATTTCTTTTCTATTTTATTAAAACATCCCGTACCATGGTATTAATGTTTCAACTGTCGATATTCACATGGAGTATGACGTCAATGCTCTTACTACTCCTCTCGCACAAGTAAAATTTTTGTTGGATTTTATTGCATTCTTCTTTATCGCTAATACACCTACGATCTCTCTCAGCAAGGTATGGATTTTGGATAGATAGGATTTGAATTTTGTCTTCTATAGGTTGAGGCAAGGAAAATAATTTATAATACGGGTAAAATTCGGAATCTATCAAGAATACCCAATATCAAATGAATTTTAATGCCATTTTCGTATGCTTTAACGTCGATTGTCCTTCTGTGATTAGTGTACAACACTATTGTTAACAGTTCTTTATCGATTTGGGCATACTTTTTTCAGATCTAGTAAGTGTTCTAGATACGTAACTTATAACACTATTCTTTTGAAACGCTCTCAATCCGAAACTTCTAACATCGCATTCCAAAATCACAAGTTATTTTGTGTTGTAATATTTTAAAGGTTGAATATTAGAAACAATAATATTTGATATATGAAGTAGATCAGAGGATCAGTGTACTTAGCCGCACACACTGTTCGCAGATTTTGGGGTCCCTGCGGCAACACCCAACTCCCGTCTACACCTTATCCTTGTATTCTCTGTCCTATATTTTTCTATTAATTTAAAAATCCAAATTTTATTATCCCCTTCCCTTACCTTACTATTCAACGCCTGGAAATATTAAACTACAAAATACAAATTATATACATTACATACATTTTTAAAAAACAAATTTTAGAGTTGTTGCCTCGCAGACAATTATACTCGCAGAAGTATAAGAAGGCAATTTTGAACGCCTTTTCTTATATTACGACAAGTAAGTTTATTTCATTTCATATTTGTTATAACTTTTATTATCGTTCTTGTTGTCAATTTGTAGCGCTTCTGAAGATGACTAATTAGTCGAAACATGTAAAGCGGATTTACTTATAATAAACCAGTATAAAAGTACAATTAGTGATTTTATAGAAATCAAAATTTAATCAAATATTATTCACATCTACTGGTAAAATGGATTTTACTATTAACATTGATCATTAGAAACAATATCTATAATTTTATCAAACTCTAATTGTTCCTGATCAGACCATTTAAAATCCACGTTATTGTGCGTTAATTGTCTCAAAATAAATAATTCACTGCTAAGATTCTTTATGTACCAAATTGCATTCTTTTCCACCTATAGTTTCCAAAAGGTGTCCAAAATGTTGTTAATGTATTACTAGATTTCGATAATTTGACTTGCCAAAAACCCTTCTTTGTGTCTACTGTTGATTTTACCCAACTCTAGCAATATTTCATCAACTGTGGTAAATTGACAATGTGGTCTTTTCATTACTTTATTTAATGGAATCGGTT